CAGAGGTCAAATGCCACTACTCCACGAGTGATAAGATTTCATTATGATTGGTATGCTCTTTATTCGTAACATTATCAGTAAACGCGAAACTACTGCCTGGCAAAGAAATTAGACGATGGACAAAAACTGTACCTTAAGCCAGTATCAAGTTCGCTTTGAAGTCGCAACTTGCTGTCCTGTACGCCTTTGTCTAGGTCGTATACTGCAGAGAAAAAGTTAGTGCTTAAGTTAGAAGAGAGCAAAAAAATTCTGAAAATGCTTCAAGAGGTGGAACAAACGTGCTTTGTTCACTGAAATAAACAGACATCGAAATAAAATGATTTATAATTATCTATTAAGAAATAAGGATTAAATTCAGATTTTGTATTTGTCTGCCTTACTGTTCGCATGTACTATCTGGTACTGGTTTGTGTATCGTGAACAGGTCTTATTCTGATTAGATTAGCATTAGAAATTAAAGAAGCACTGTTTCCAACATAAAATATTTTACCGAGGAGTGACGGTATAAATAAACATAAGCGTAGGAATACGTTGAAACACTGTGTAGCAACGAATATATCTTAACCAATTTCCAATAGACTCCTTGAAAACTCTCATTTACAGGAGTTCAAATAAGCTGGTTCCTTTAGTTCCATTATATGGAAGTGACTCTCAGTAACTGATGAATGTGAGGATCAACTCATCTTTACGCCAGCCTCACCAGAAAATTAGCCAAATTTCTAACCTGATGGTTGGCGCTGACGGTGGAAGACCTTGATGCTGTAGGCGCGCATGAAGTCACGCTGAACGAACGATTTGATGGCGCTACCGTTGCGTTTCGACACTCGAAGCACAGAATTCTTGAAGTAGTCAGTTGCATAAAGGTAATTCTCGAACAACGTCAGTGAATGTAGACTCTTCACGTTGTGGCCATAGGCGATTGTGATCGGCTTGTACTTGCCGTCGTAATCCACTGATCTGATGTACTCAAGGTAGTTGTCCAGCCAATAGACGCGTCGCGTCGTAAAATCCAGGCTGATACCATACGGATATATGATGCTTACGTTGACGATGCGCTTGAAATTTGCGCCATCCATGTCGATCCGCAACAGGCTCGGCTGCAAACTACCCCAATCGGTCATGAACGCATACCTAAAAGAGCCAAAAACATCAGAAATTCGATTCATTAACCGACAGCACGTTAATAAATGCCTAAATCTATCGATATTTAAAATATTAAGACGCCACCCTGTTCCTAGCTATCTAGGCGCCATTGTTGATCATACCTGAGCATCTTCACTGCAAAGGTGCATCTTATAGAACTTATTCTTTCGAGAAACGAACTGCTTACCACTAATGATCAGAAGACGCTAGTACTAAAAACATTAAATAGTGGAGTTATGTACTTATCATCATAAGTCTGATGAACGAATTTTTTGGAAGGCAGAGAAGGCACATACGCAGCACTGATTCGTGAAACAGCACAGGCATTCAGAGTTACTATACTGTTGCTGTACCGTACCTTTGTCCAAACCGCCTATTCATCGAGATTTTTCAAGCACAGTAATGTATATAAATTAACCAGTTATCGAGATATCTTAAGGCATGGATCGGCAAACCGGGGTAACTTACCCCAAGTGGGGTAAAAATGATATTCTTCGGGGTAATGAGGACTCAACAGACATAAATAAAATTATACAAAAAGCGCGTTCATTGTTACGACAGAATTTTTCTTCTGGCAACTACATCTTGCCAATGTAAAAGACGTGTTTAGGAGATGTCATACCATGCTGAACACTAAACAGTTTGGTTCCTAGGCATTGTCAAGTGGTCAAACAGATATTATTTGTCAGTTGTCTATTACCCGCCTTAATCTTATTTGTTGACATGTGTTTTTGTTGCTTTGTTTAAGTGGATTTAAGTAGTTATTTAACTTAGTTTATTTCAATAGCTCTATTTTAAGTCTAAGATTTTCATTTATTAACCATATTTTGTCTGTTATTTCGATAATTTGATTAATGTATTTTCTGTCTGCTCGACTAATTTTTCGATGGTCAGTAAATTAACTAAACATTGCCATCATCTTGAGGACATGACTTAGTGCCACGCTTACCAAATAAATTATTGTAAATCTAAATGAACTTTAAAAAACTTAAAACGCAGGCAGCGTTCGCAGATTCACATATAACTATCCGTAACAATGGTTGCTAGATAAATTGTCTGGACAGTATTCAAATTGTTCTGACATGAAAATGTCCAGTTTTGATGCTATTGTGTCAAAAATGAATCAACATCATTTCTCCAAATCCTAAACAGTTTCCAAAGAAATCCTTTT